AAATGGTAATTTTACATCTTACTTAAAATAGGAGATAAGATGTAATTACCGTGAGAAAAACTCGCTTCTGTATCGTTGAATCCAAAACAGCGAAAATGAAATTCTTTCAAAAATTTCTTGGTAATACAAGACACAGCTGTGCATTCACGCTGTGGAATAATTATAAAAATAATGAATAAAATAATTGTTCAATTACTGCACGCGGAAAAAAAACGATTTTGCTGAAGAACCGAAAAATTTAGTTAGAAAAACAGATCTGAAAATAATTTTGTTGGATCGTAGAAATTATTATGTAGAACGTGTAAAAACTGGAACGGTCGAAACTTTTTACAGCATTTCTTATCGTTCTTGAAATTCCTGCAAAATTATTTTCAGATTCTATATAGATTTTATTTAGATTCTTCGGCAAAATTGCTCTTTCCATGTGCAGTATATTACAATTTCGAAAACATCAAGGGGGCAGAAGAAGATAAATAATATACTCCGGTATATATTTCTTTGTCCCGCTAGCCGTTTAGAAGTTTTTCCCTGGAAGCCGGGAATGAAAAATCGCCCCGTGTGGTAACCTAACGAACCCCTAGCTACGGTATCGACTTTATATGCACATGCACTTGGCACACGCGCGTATGCAGGGTGAAAACGTAATAGCTTGGGTCACGGTGACTCGGAGCGACTGTTCTCGGGTTTAACTTCTCGGTCTCGGGGCTGAAGATCGTAACGTCGCGCGTGCGTGAAGTAAATTTTGTAAACTGACTGACGAATCGTTCTCTTTTCGAAATAAACAAAAATGAAGATAAAGCGCACTACGTTGTCGATACTCACATGGGAAATCCGCTTACTTTCGAATGCCATTACCAAGTTTTGTGCAGTTGTTGGCGAAACTTTCTGCCAGCGTGTTATTACCGATGCACGTAGCACCCGTTCCCAGCAGAGGGCTAACATTTTTCTTTTACTCATCGATCATCTATCAGTCCATTTTATCTCAAGCTGTATCGCGTGATTTCCACCGGATCGTCAACTCTGAATGCTATCACCGTGCGTTATTGTTTTTTCGATGCAAATGTATCTCCTTGCGACGCGATAGTAGGTCGAACTTTTTGCAGTGCCGAGATATTACGTATCATAAACTATATTACATGTCGCATGGTTATTAATTAAAAAAGAAAAACTTACCGCGTCACAGGATAATTACAATACGTGTATCTTTAGGAATATATTTATGGATACTGGGTTTCAATAAGGCTTGTAACGACATAAACGCAAGATACATCGAATGTATCGATTATATCGTTACTATTGAAAAAATCCTTGAGTATAAATATCTCATAATTCAACGTAAATATTTTCCATAGACGTAATAAGAATAGATTGCGTATTCCTACAAGTTATCACTATCGATTTAGAAAGAATGAAGTAGCTTCAATCATATCGCTTTTTCTCTTCAAAGTATCAAGATAAAAGGAGATAAAGTTGAAAAAAAAAAACGCTGAAATGATTCAATTCTTTCTAAAGGAGGCACATATGCTTAAATTGGAAAATGCGCAATCTATATATACCCATTACGTCTGATATTATTCATCACCGTCTGTTTCTTGCTACTTTTCATTATTCAGTCTGATACTGCTCGATCTTGTAACTTTATGAAAATATTTTTCCAACTCAGAAATAATTGATAACACGAAGAAAATTTGTATTGGTTTGTTTGTGATGAAACTTGAATCAAGGTCAACCTCGTGGTAGATCGAAGATCGCAACTCGAAGGTGAGATAGTAACAGCCTCGCGAAAATATCGCGGAATGATATGCTAAAGATACGTCTCGAGGCAAATGCAATTTCGCTCACGTCTCATCTGTCCGCGAACGAGATTCAACTGACTGCAGAATCGGAACCAATTGGATTTAATGGCAGGGAAAAAAATCATTACGGACTACTTAACGCCGCGAATTGATGTACGAGTAAGAGAGGCTCTTCAGACATATCCGTACAACGTCAAAAGTACGAGCGAACAAAGTATTAAAATCTTCTTTGTCTTCAACCGAAAATCGATTGCTCATCATTGAAGAAATATCCGGTATGCCCAGCGTTAAATAGCCCGCATCGATACTTTCGTCACGTTTAGCATTCTTCGCGATCAATGAGGACACCCTCTTTGGCATCCCTAATCAGCTGACAATTCCAACGTCATGTCGTTATCTTCGATTTCCGATAAACAATTCTATTCGCGACGTTCCAAAACAACCGAGCGATTCAATGTCGTCATTCAAAAGGGCCGATAATCCTGAGCTTAATTTAATCCCGATCGAAGTTGGGCATCTCAAAATATAATGCTTTCCGATAAATTGTTCACGACCCACGGGGTACCGGTATTCTTTCAGTGTAGAAGCAAATGTAACGATACTATTATTTAATTCATTCAAAATTCATAACGTCGATAGACGGAAAAGGCGGCAGTGATAGAAATTCGGATCTTCCATTCGCTGGTTCTGTAAATCTTGTGGACTCGTAAATGTCCACTTCTTGAGTTACCTTTGCCTGTACGCGTCGTAATTCAATCGACCGTAGAAGTACGTCCGCCATAATTCAACGGAATGTCTTACAGCCCCTTAGAGAGAGACGAGTGGACTCTACTACCATGTCGCATGGAAGAAGCCTCCGTGCGATCGACTGAATTAATACCCGCCTCGGGTGCTCGCAGCGACTTCGGGAAGCATCCACGGATTGACTATTTTTGCGACTCCGCGGAAAAGCGTCACGTCGCACGCTGAGCGAGCGGCCTAGTTTCGCGTTCTATGCAACGGGAACTTGACGCTCTCGATGTCACGTCGCGTGAGATGTGCGCGCGCACGGATAGAGAATCAGACGGTTATCCCGTGGATAACAAAATCAGGTCGAACGGTTGATCGCAAGCTTCGTTAACAACGCGGGGCGGGATCAAAGTCCCATGTCGGCGACGTCTATGACCCGGCGGAGTTTTCACGACGGCGCGACATGGAGATTCAATCGGATGAACAACGCGCTCGTAGTCGTTCTACATTCTAATGCCAATTAGCAGTCTAACGGGGTCCCGGAATCAAGTCCTTCCCATACCTCTCGTTATCTTATACTCGCGCTGGATCGTCGTGCTGGACGTGACATGATAGCGTGGCAAAACATCGGTACACACGAAGGTGTAATTAACTGAAATAAATCTAGCATCTTTTGCATGATTGTTGCAGCTGTGATCGTCGACAAAAGAGAAAGACGGATTTACCGAAGGAAACGCAAAAATTGTAATCGGCAAAATATACATTTATTAGTAAGTTGCACTTGTAGCAGTCGCATGCAACGATTTTTATGCTATTATGCTATTATGCGGAGTCATGTATATTACGATCTTGACTTGAATGTTAATAATACTATAAAAATTTAATTACATGAGACTTTTTTTATGTTGTTTACATACATACGTGAAATATGAAAATCATTTTTACACATTTCTTTACGTAAATCGTTAAAGTATTTCTCTCCTCTTCTCGAGCAATAATTATAAATGTAATGTGATAATTCAACAATACGCATAACGCAATAAAAATTCATCAGTACACTAAAAAAAGAGTCTAATAATTACGAAATGTTAGGTAAAGTAAATTCAATCAAACGTTCAATCGATATAATTTTCTTTTTCTAATATTTCTTTTTTATAAATATAAACAGAAATAATAATTTTCCTTTCTTAAATACTTGGTCAATTATTACCGAACGTAATAATATCACCTATATATTTGATAATCATTACTAAATATTTAGAAAAGGAAAATTATTTTCGCGGTTATATGTTACATTAACTGAATATTCGATTGAAATTGTTTCACTCAACATTCAGTAGCTATTACCAGACTTTTTTAAATGTATAATTTATACGAAAGTTCCCGCTGGTTTAAATTCTTGCTCTTGGAAAAAGTTGTTGATCTAAAAGTACTTAAATCGCTGGATAACTCGCGTCGATGGTGCGTATTGCGAGAGGCGTGATTTGCGGTCGAATCACGAACGGTCTAGAAGTACGACTGACCGCAAAAAGTATGCGTACTGCTAAATCATAGCTCGCACCTCGATCATACGATCATACGATCATACGAGAATCAGGGAGAAAGAGAGAACGAGCGTGGTAATGAAGCGAGCCGTGGACACGCGGCACTCTAACGGGACAAAACAAACAAGAGAGTGACTAAAAGAAAATATAAAATGGGACATCGCTGACCGAGCCTAACTAAACTCTCGGGAATTAAGGATAACGGGATGAGAGCAGAAGCACTGGATTTCTATCTATGTAGAAAGAGTACATCGCGTGTTTTCTTCATTTTCTCCATCGCGATGTCAAAATAAAAAACAAATGCATGACGTATATTAAAATTTAATATTCTTGGATATGAATCTCGACAAAACCACAAATATTTCGACGCTGATATCACTTTTTTCTTCTACGAGAAAAATCAGCGATAAGGATCTTACACCGATGCCGTCCTTTCAACACGACATCTCTCCTAGAGATGAATCCGCGCGATGTGATGGAAATTTTCGTCCTCGTTGAGGCAAATTAATCGTCCGTGTTCGCAGTGCTGACCGAATTAAACCGTGAGAATCTAATGATACGTTATCGGATATTTCGAACGAATTATCACCTTTATATGAAAAGAACCGGTTCGTACCGAGAGAACGGCTCGTATATAAATATTGCCGCACGTACAAGTTATTATAATAGATATCGATTAACGTATGTAAAAACATGATCGTTTACACGTCATCAGTAACGATACGTTCCTTCCGGCACGGCTTATAAAACCGAGCAATTTTAATTCTAATAATTTGGTTCTCATAAAAGCAAGGTACATATTTCGCTGTAATAAAACACCTTCCGATTAATATAATCCGTATTAATTCCGTAATTGCGCAAGTTGGCGTTATTAGGAAATTATCGTCTACATTTCATACAATAAGAGGGTGAAGAAAAAGAAGCTACTCACCGGAACCGTAATCTATACTCGGTGTGGGCGGCAGGCTGCTTTCAATGGCGGCCTTGCTGAACAGATAAATCGGATTTGTGTCGGTTCCAGCCGAGTAAGAGCACACACGTGCATTTGGTTCCAAGCATTCGCCTCCGCTCATAAGCAGCACCTGATGCGCCGCTACCACACCGCATTCCCTCTCGATCGCCTCCATCAGCTGACTGACACTGCCACAGAAAAGCCAATTACGCATGAGCGATCGCTGAATCAAATTTACACCTGGATATTACAGAACGAAGATTCTTCGTCCGTGAATTTTTCCTCGAGCCATTTCCTGGAAGTTTATCCCCCCGTTCGTTTCTTAAAATAAACTGTTATCGATACTTAAGCACTTCCATTATCCACAACGATTATGATAATGTAAAAAAAAAGAATGCAAAATAGATACTGAGAACTTTTAAACTTTTTTATGCATTGTACGTATACAAAAAAAAAATATTAGGATAAAAAGATAGTTATTGAGAAAAATGCTTAAGATACACGAAATAATAAACTACAAGATCAGATAAAAATAATATTCAGAATATATATATAAGATAGATAAAATAGTATTTGTACAGTTAAGTAACATTAAACATGAGATGCCTTTTCCCGATGTCGATAAACAAAAACATCAAAAATATCTTTTTCTCAATTCCTCCACGTTAGAACCGGGAAAGTCTCTTCCGCTTCAATAAATCAAGGGCGATATCACGCCTTTAGGCAAGAAAGAAGCATTACTCGATTAAAAAACGGTTAGGCTGATTACGACCTAATTTCCGTAAAGAAATCGTAATTACCGGATGGTGCGTTTCCATTGCCGGATGCAATGCAATAACGAAGAAATAATGAGAGTAAAAAGACGATTGGGCGTGTATTGTGAGGGCTTTAATACGATAGAGCGGTGATTACCGTAATAATGCCACACGAGATAGATGCACTCGCGTAAGGACAATCGCGGGATCTCACCTGTTATCTGACGTTACGTGATGAAGGATTGCTATTAATTCTTGAAACAGATGGATGTTCAAGTATGGTTCAAGTACAGTGGCAGTACGTGTGCCTCGAAAATTTGCATGCGTAATAATTAAACTGCCAGCACTCTGTCAATCACGTACAGCTCGAGTGCACTGTGATGCAAAAAACATCGAGAGGCGGATAAAGGAAGAAAAAAAAGAAAGGGGGAAAAAAAGGAAAGATTAAAATTGACGTAATTATATAGCGCGCGGAGCGTTGCGTAATAGCGCGTAATGTTACTTTTAGAAGTTTTATCTATCGTGATCATTTTTCATTTTCGACGTTTAACTATCGCAATTCTTTTTCGTTCCGATCGTTTATCGCGAACGCTTCTCACATATCGTGATCGATACGCGTTGTTATTTTACGACGTTTTAAAAAAGATCTTAAAGACTCGACTTGTTCGGAATACAACAGTCTTTAAACGTTTAAAAAGAATCGGAGCGATACGTTGGGTATTGTTAACACTCCGTGCAAGGTTAAGTAACGGTTAAGGACTGCTGCTTTTTGAGCAGTCAAGAGAGGTGAGGAAATGCGCGACGTATTAATTAAGTATAAGAGAACGTGTTCGCAGTTACACTAACATTAATAAAAC